GGGTTCGGAGCCAAAGGTCAGTGGACTCGGCTAGGCAGGTTGAAAGATCCATTCAAGTGCATGGAAGCACAGTGGAATTAAATGGGCTTCGTCAGTTGTAACGACAGGCCTTAAAGGAGTCAGTAGAGTCTAAGCATTTGGGACCAGTTAGCTAGTTTTTCATAGGGGTAACTTGTATTTTATAGGAAGTGGGTTGGGTGAAATCATTTGAAAATTTCTGAGAGAATTCTTCATTATTACTTCATACATGTTATTGCTATGGCAGTAGGGGCCGGTTGATCCCCACGGGTTTGAGTTGCACGCCTGAAGGGCTCAGGGATACGATTCGATTTAGGGGAGACCCCGAAGGACAGGGATATTGGGAACCTTTTCCAGACCGAAAGAGCCGCCTGGGATGGAAGTTCTTTCTGGTCGACTGGCTCAATCATGAAAGCACCATCCCTAAATGAAGAGCTTTAGACTCAATTTCGTCGTGGATTAGGGGCAAGGCCGCAGGACGACGACATTTTTGTGACCCTACTTTGCACACTTGCTTCGTATCTTGGCAAGAGAGGTCAAATTTGGCTGCAGAATTCCGATCAAACGGTTGTAGGGTAGATCAATTTCCAGCCTTCTCCGATTATCTTGCCTTTGTCTGCTTTCGTTTTGACGTGCGCTCCGCCACGACTTCACCTTTATGTTCTTACAACGTACCCCCTAGTCCATGCACCCATCTCGGTGTAGTTGCCGGGCGACTTCATATCCGCGACATGTTCGTACTTCGTATTCTTCCGCCAAAATTCGGTACACTCTATGGTCGTACCGCTGGCCGCGGCGCATTGGTTCTTATACTGGGTTGCCATTAGCGTGAGTCACAGAGTGAGTTACATACGTTGTAGCAGTTAGCTCCATGCGAAGCTCCAACTTGGTGGACTCGAGCCTTAAGTTTTCTCTCCAGATGATATTTCGGTGGCCTCTAGTGCAACAAACATGGGAGCTTTTTATTTGAGTTCTCTCACGCCAACGATGACGGTCCCTGAGATGCAAGCGATGATTACCCTGTCGGTCATCTTCGGAGCATTCTGAGATGCTGGTCCCGTATCTTGACGGAAGCAAAAATGCTATGACGTCATATTAACGTTTTGGCCACAAATCGCCACATGGCGTGGAAAGCGCTCTGTATTCTCAGAACGCGACTGCCACTCAACAGGATTTGGGGAGGCACCAACTCCACGTTTTCGCGAACCAAGAATATCTTTCGAAAGCAGAGCCGTTCTTGCGACACTAACGTTGGTTGTACCGCAGTAAGCCGTCAATTACGCGAATGCACCATAGTTTCGGCCAAAGATATTGCCGACAATGGTGCTGTCGCTTTTATGAGCGTTGCTTATCGCTACACTGGAACAGAGAGCGGGGAGCGCTCTTCAGATACATTGGACTAGAGATTCTCCCGTTCACTTTAGGAAATC